TAAAAATAATAACACTGATAATAAAAACATTCAAATATTTAAAAGAATATTATGGGTTAACATGAGGTTAAACTGACTGTAAGGGAAACCATAATCAACAAATTTGACCTTTTTCTTTAAACATGCATACATATTCTTACAAAACAGTGATAATTATATGGCACACATAAAGTCAGAATCACTACAGTGACAGTATATATTTGGAACAAAAATACAACTAGAAAAGTTGTAGAAAAATTACGTAAATTACATTTTCATATTGAATATACTAAAACATCCCTTCAACACAGCAGTCACTTTTGGTAAAGCGTAAGTTAGAAGCTATAAACTCAATGAACTGAAGCGACCACCTTTCAAGCAATGCTGTAATTTGTCAACTCAAGTCTTTTAGCTCCTAAACCATAAAAGAGCCACTGATTCAATTTTATGACCCTACATTCATTACTTTGCCAAATGTAAGCATTCATTTAATTACTTAAGGTCACATATATATATATATATATATAACATTGTAAGGTTAAGCTGAAAGAACTGCATTTAGTCACTTCTGAAAACCCTCAACAGTTGGGTTTGTTTTCAATTTAGGACATTCAATGCCGAGAGCATGAAGCATCTGCTGTGGCCTTCTCTCGTCTTTTTCATCAAACATCACCGTCTAGACAGCTCTCAACAGGTGAACTCAGAGTTTGATAAGCTTTTGAAACATATCAACTTTCTGAAACATAGGCGCGGGAAGTGGGGGTGCTGAGGGTGCTGCAGCATCCCCTGTTTTTTTCTGTGGACAACTGTTTAAATGTTGGGATTAAAAAAAAATCGGAGTGTCTATTTACACTAAGTGCAAATGGCCCACCTTGTTGGCAGAGGCTATTTACACCAACTCCGCCCACCAACGTGTGATTGGGATAGTCAACATTACAAAAGTATTTAATCATTAATCATCAGATTCAGTGGCGTAGATGGTAAAGCGTGTGTCATAGCCTACTCGTTTTGACGCGATCGACCCGGGTTCGAATCTGCCTTTTGGTGAACTTTTTTTTCTCCCTTGTCAAATTTCAAATCACATCAGAAAGGCATTTATTTTTAATAAAAACTAAGGAAATAATCAAAAAGTTGAGGGTAGGGTAGGTGTAGGGAGGGCTTTTGTCCCAATAAGGTGGCATCCATTTAATAATTTGAATTAAAATTAAAATTTACACTCAATAAGTTATTATTGCACACGGTTTTATAATGTATTACAATGATAATTGACATATAGTTAAAATAGCAGGACTATCTATAGTTTTTTTATATCACTAATAAAAGTGTAAATAGCCTCTATCGCACCCCAGCTCATTTTCCAACTCCCCTAGAGTTAAACTGTCGAGTTTTACCATTTTCGAATCCATTCAGCCGATCTCCGGGTCTGGCGGTAGCACTTTTAGCTGCCCTACATTCATTACTTTGCCAAATGTAAGCATTCATTTAATTACTTAAGGTCACATATATATATATATATATATAACATTGTAAGGTTAAGCTGAAAGAACTGCATTTAGTCACTTCTGAAAACCCTCAACAGTTGGGTTTGTTTTCAATTTAGGACATTCAATGCAGAGAGCATGAAGCATCTGCTGTGGCCTTCTCTCGTCTTTTTCATCAAACATCACCGTCTAGACAGCTCTCAACAGGTGAACTCAGAGTTTGATAAGCTTTTGAAACATATCAACTTTCTGAAACATAGGCGCGGGAAGTGGGGGTGCTGAGGGTGCTGCAGCATCCCCTGTTTTTTTCTGTGGACAACTGTTTAAATGTTGGGATTAAAAAAAAATCGGAGTGTCTATTTACACTAAGTGCAAATGGCCCACCTTGTTGGCAGAGGCTATTTACACCAACTCCGCCCACCAACGTGTGATTGGGATAGTCAACATTACAAAAGTATTTCATCATTAATCATCAGATTCAGTGGCGTAGATGGTAAAGCGTGTGTCATAGCCTACTCGTTTTGACGCGATCGACCCGGGTTCGAATCTGCCTTTTGGTGAACTTTTTTTTCTCCCTTGTCAAATTTCAAATCACATCAGAAAGGCATTTATTTTTAATAAAAACGAAGGAAATAATCAAAAAGTTGAGGGTAGGGTAGGTGTAGGGAGGGCTTTTGTCCCAATAAGGTGGCATCCATTTAATAATTTGAATTAAAATTAAAATTTACACTCAATAAGTTATTATTGCACACGGTTTTATAATGTATTACAATGATAATTGACATATAGTTAAAATAGCAGGACTATCTATAGTTTTTTATATCACTAATAAAAGTGTAAATAGCCTCTATCGCACCCCAGCTCATTTTCCAACTCCCCTAGAGTTAAACTGTCGAGTTTTACCATTTTCGAATCCATTCAGCCGATCTCCGGGTCTGGCGGTAGCACTTTTAGCTGTAGATTAGCATAGATCATTGAATCTGATTAGACCGTTAGCATCTCGCTCAAAAATGACCAAAGAGTTTCTATATTTTTCCTATTTAAAACTTGACTCTTCTGTAGTTACATCGAGTACTAAGACCGACGGAAAATGAGAATCAATGGCCGATATGGCTAGGAACTATACTCTCATTCTGGCGTAATAATCAAGGAACTTCAAAACTTCCAGGAAATCAAAATCGTGAATCGAATCGAATCGTGAGTTGAGTGAATCATTACATCCCTAATGTGTACAGTATGTACATTGAGCACTGCTGTTCCGTTGGCTTGTTTGTGGCCAAATTTCTTTTTATTTTTGATACATTTGTATTAAATGTACAAATTTACATTTGGATGAATTTGTCTGTCTTTAATCAGATTTACCAATTGTTATAACATTTCTAGTACTTTTCTTAGTTTCAGGTAGCCAAAGTGAAGTTAAAGCTTCTGGTGGCAAAGCAGTTGTAGAGTTTTTGACTGTATCAATAATAATTTATTTTGGCTATATTCCCCAACATCAGCTCTCACTATCTTTGATCACAGGCAAGCAATTTTGTCCAGGAATCATAAAATCAAAATGCTAAAAAAAAAAAAACATTTGAAGGATTTACAGCATTCATCAGATCTTGCTGTTCCAACTCTTCCAACTCACTCCGTGTGTGTGCACATCCATGTTGCCTAGTAACGAACGTGCTTGCAGCACAGCGGGATCATGTAATTTACGAAGAAACAACATTTTCATTTCTGATTGGCAGGTAGGTGGCATTTAATTCGAGAAATTGTCCATTAATTGTATATAGCGGGGCATGTTATCCCTTACTTCTCAGTGTGAGAAATACAAGGTGTGGCATATGAGTGTGTGAACTGGTTGAAATGCATGTATGTCACGGTGAATGCTTGATAACCCACTAACACAAGCGCTTACCAACACTGCTGTCTAATGACGTCGCAGTCTCCGGTAGATTGTTGTTGTTGTGTCTATTCCTTTTCTTTTTTTGTCTGAAAAACAACGGCCTGGGCCAGTGTTGCCACATTGTGAACAAACTAACTAGTGCAAAAACAATTCAAGGCGTATGTGCGACCTGTGTGAACTCTTCCCTTGGGCCACACGAAGATGATTGGCGGGCCGGATTGGGTCCAGGGGCCGCCAATTGAATAGCCCTGCTTTATACCCTCATAATAATGTTAAAAATACAGCAATAACTGCCAACTGGATGGCTGCGCTGACTGGCCAGATTATATCATGTGTCTTTCATGTGTGGTGAAGTATTTGAAAAACAATTTAACGTGAGCTTACAGTAGCGCTGTGCAATGAATCAGTCAAAAAGATTCACAAAACAGTCCTCGAATTTGCTTATGAGTTAGCGGTTTGAATCAGACTCATTGTGAATCATTCAGAGCCCTTACTGAGTTTACAGCTGACTCCCTCACTGAACTGAGAGTCATTTTTACATTCAAAATGAACTGGGAATTGTTACTATGATGAAAACCAATATGTTAAATCCAAATCCAAATTTTTATATAACTTTTGAGATTACAAAAAAGTCCCACCATTAAAAGCCATGTCCCAAACACTTCGACATAAATTAGACATATACAGTACAGCAGCCTAGTCTAAACTGCAGTGTAAGTTTTAAAATAAATTTTACACTCCTATTACCAACTTTCTTTATAAAAAAAAATAAAATAAATCGCCTTACAAATAAATATGGATAAATCTGAATAGCTTCAGAACGGACAATAATGAAATTATTTTAATTAAACCATATTGTTGATGAATATAATATAAAAAAGTGGTTGTGGTTATTATCAATAATGCAACTAATGTTTTTGGGGAAAAAAAAGTATCTTAAATTAATACCAATGTTTCAAATAGCAGCATTGCTGTTTGAGCTGCATGCGCTGTAGCTGAAGAGCTGAATGAACACCAGTAAACTAAAGCGCTTTATTAGCGGGTTAATTAGACTATATGAGAATCAGATATTTATACAACATGAACATAATATTACAACTTATATATGTACAAAAATATGCAAATACAAAAGTGATCTTGAACTAGGTTACATGCTAGTCAGAGTGTGTAACTCCTGTTGTGGATGCGCTTTTGGCTCTTCCCATAACAACACGCTAAAACATGGCAAATAAATCCAAATTTTATTATGGTAATGTTTTCTTTATAATGTTATGTATACAACATTAACAATTATAGTTATTAAATGTTGTGCACTAATATATGCACAATCTTTTATTATAATAGTGTTCTCATTATAATGTTATATATATATATATATGGCAGCATCTTTTATTATAATAGTGTTCTCATTATAATGTTATATATATATATATATATATGGCAGTCTCAATCATAGTTATTAATGTTGTGCGCTGCTGTTTGAACTGCATGCGCTGAGCTAAAGATGATCACCGGCAAACTGAAGTGCTCTATTAATGCTCTATTAACTTAAACGCTTTCTATATGAGATAAATCATATATATATATATATATATATGTATATATACATAAAATAAACACAATATTACAACGTACAATTGCACAAAAGACTGTAAATGCACAAGCAAACTTAACTGTGGTAGCCATGACGCTGTAGCTCCATTGTGAATGCGCTCTTCCCGTAACAACGCACTTAAACAAGATTATTTTACAGTGCATGTTCTCATTATTATTTTATGTAGCCTATATGACTGACTTGCCCTGCACATGTTGCACTTAACTGTAATTTCCTTTTCAAAGTGATTCTAATCATATTTCAAGCAATTCAAAACCATCATGGTGAACAGTGCGCATCTGCAGTGCCTCTGAAGGAAATAGTGCATTATTTATCGGCTTTAACATATTGGCCGAATTTTCTTATCGGGTCGATAGCGATAACAGTAAAAATGAACATTTATCAGCCAATACTGATATGGTGGCCGATATATCGTGCATCCCTAAGTTGCACTGTTGCAATATACACAGATATAACAATGCACTCATATCAATGGCATCATTATGCAACTCAACAAGCAGGAAGACAAACAAATAAGACACTGAAGGACATAAATCAGTCATTGTCATCATCATTTTTATCACAGTACCTCCAATAGAACACCTGCGAGCAATTTCCCAGAACACCAGACCCAAGGCATAGATGTCTGCCCTTTTAAAAGACTCAAAGTGCCTCATGTTAATAGAGTCATCCAGCACCTCAGGGGCCATATACCTGTGAACATGACAGATGACATTAGAAATCCCTTATTTACACCCCTTACACATCAAAACATCCATTTCAACCCCTTTGATTAAAGGTTGCTTGTTTTGACAAGCTTTACAGAGCATCCCAGAGGAATGAACTATATATTTTCTTTAAGGAGCGTGATTTTCAGTAAAATGTGCTAAAAAAATGTTCAACAATTTTCAGAATTACTCTTGCATGGGCTGGAATGAAGCATGACACTGCCAAGCATTTTTATCTGTTGTTTTTCTTCAAGAAATTATGTGATTAGACAGGATTAAAAACTGTGGAAAAAGGGAAACCTAATCAAGGAAATTAGGTATTAGTCAAATGAATAGAGACACATCTCATTACAAAGTGATTATAAGAGATAATATTAGTGTGAGCAGAAATGTTCCTAACTGACCCTAATATGTAAATGAATTAACGTTATTAACAGTAATTTACCTCTGAGCAAATATACATTTAAATCATATAAATACAATTAATTTATTGCATTATTTGAATTTATTTATGAATGAATTTATTTCTTATATATGTGACCCTGGACCACAAAACCAGTCTTAAGTCGCTGGGGCATATTTGTAGCAATAGCCAAATTATCGATTTTTCTTTTATGCCCAAAATCATTAGGATATTAAGTAAAAATCATGTTCCATGAAGATTTTTTGTAAATTTCCTACCGTAAATATATCAAAACTTAATTTTTGATTAGTGATATGCATTGCTAAGAACTTCATTTGGACAAATTTAAAGGCGATTTTCTCAATATTTTGATTTTTTTTTGCACCCTCAGATTCCAGATATTCAAATAGTTGTATCTCGGCCAAATATTGTCCTATCCTAACAAACCATACATCAATGGAAATCTAATTTGTTCAGCTTTGAGATGGTGTATAAATCTCAATTTTAAGAAATTGACCCTTATGACTGGTTTTGTGGTCCAGGGTCACATATGTAATTTTTCTGCAAAAAAAAAACCTTAACCTGATGACGAAAAGCAATTTTAGCTCATCAAAATCCATAATTCTGAGAACAAACAAACAGATCAAATCCATATTCAACTGTCCTGCCATTGTAATGCAATAAATCTCATCACAAAATGGGATGGACCGGCTGTACTGAGCACCGGACTTTAGCATTCATCAGGTTATATAAGAAAAGGTGTTTTGAAAGGGAAAAAAAGGTTCAGATTTGTGGCAGTACCATTTATAATATGTAAATGTTTTAAATAATCTCCAATAATAATTAATTTGCGACCTACAGTGCATACTGGGCTTAGCATTTGATAGGACAACAACTGATTTCAGTAATTAAATAAAAAATAAAATCAAAACAAATACACAAAAAAGCTGCAAATATCAACAAAATGTCTGAGAAAAAAATGAAGCAAATTCAGCAAGTTTGGGCCACAACAAATCTGATAAAAAAGTCACACAAAATTCTGGAGGGACTAATTTATGTTCATTTGGGAACAAAGGGTGACACTTTCATTTAAAGATATAAAAAATACCTAGATTCACTATTTTAAGGCTTAACATTTTACTGTACTTCTGGATAATTTATGCAAAATGGGATTTAAAACAGGACCTCCATAGACTTGCATTAGAAAAGAAAAAAGCTTGTCTGATGACAATATGGCAGATAGCAACAGTTGCTAAGGTAGGATTGCACTGTCATGTGTTTAAGGCGGAGCTTTAAAGGTTTAGCTGATAAGGGTGTCTTGTGGGTTGCATAGCAGCCTAGAACATGGTTTTCCCTTGAAAACCAAGAAGACTGGAGTGAGACATCATCACTCAAGTGAGCCCTAGGGGGACAGAAGGTTGTGAGGGAGAACTTTGACATTCAAAAGTCACATTCAGTAACCATCACAGCAGGAGATGGTAGCGGGTGTTATATACTGCAATATATGAGTGTCAATGTGTGACAGCCTGTCACACCTAGCAGTAGTCTGGGGAAGTGTGCGTGTGTGCTTAGTGTCCAGGGGGCACAGAAGAGAATGGGTGCATCGCTGAGAGCCTCTCGCTCTAGATTTGATGTGACACACTCCTGTGGTGACAACAGGGAGAGTGGCGTCCCTAGCACTGTCCTTCACAGCACACATCTCACCCTCTGAGTAAACTCAAGAAAAAAAAAAACCTGTTGTGGGATCCCGAGAAGCGAGGTTCCACTCGCAACAGAGTTGGTCCAAAAAAAGAAAGAAAATCCTCAACCAATCATGGGTCAATGACAAAAGTGACCCTGGACCACAAAACCAGTCTTAAGTCGCTGGGGTATATTTGTAGCAATAGCCAAAAATACATTGTATGGGTCAAAATTATTGATTTTTCTTTTATGCCAAAAATCATTAGGATATTAAGCAAAGATCATGTTCCATGAAGATATTTTGTAAATTTCCTACTGTAAATATATTAAAACTTAATTTTTGATTAGTAATATGCATTGCTAAGAACTTAATTTGGACAACTTTAAAGGCGATTTTCTCAATATTTAGATTTTTTTGCACCCTCAGATTCCAGATTTTCAAATAGTTGTATCTCGGCCAAATATTGTCCTATCATAACAATCCACACAACAATGGAAAGCTTATTTATTCAGCTTTCATATGATGTGTAAATCTCAATTTTGAAAAATTTACCCTTATGACTGGTTTTGTGGTCCAGGCACACAAATAAGCATTTTTACAATTAAAGGGGTCATATGATGCGATTTAAATTTTTCCTTTCTCTCTGGAGTGTTACAAGCTCTTGGTGCATAAAGAAGATCTGTAAAGTTGCAAAGACTAAAGTTTCAAATCTAAAGAGATATTTTTTATAAAAGTTAAGAGTCAGCCACGCCTACCTAAAACAGCTCGTTCTAACACGCCCCCACATGTCTACGTCACGATGTGGGAAGATTTGCATAACACCGCCCAAATGATCACGCAAAGAAAGAAGGCATAACTTTTATTTTCGCTGTAGTATTGTTGTTGCCGCCGCCATGTCGTGAAGGCACTGTGTGTTTCTTTGTGAAAGCGAAACTACTTTGTTTGGTCTTCCAAAAGAGGACGATATCTGCTTCGTCATGCCTGGAGCTGATCCGTGCTGGTTGCTGAGGAAATACAACAACTTTGCGCTGTGGATCACCGGATCGGCTTTCACCGTGGACGAAGCGGAGTCCAGCCCGGGGTCGTCACATGTTGTTGCCGCAAGCCCTCCGGACGCTCCTTCGTCGAATCCGCCAGCCACGCCGTTCTCAAGCCCGCCGCCTCCACTCACTCTAGCCCTCCGGTCGTTCCTCACTCTAGCCCCCGGCCTCTGCTCACTCTAGGCCACCGTGTGTGACGCTATGTTTCATTGTGAAAATGAAACTACTTTGTTTGGCCTTCCAAAATGGACACGACTAGAAATGGTTAAGTTGTATTTACAACACTGTTCCAGAACACTTCAACCCAAATATTCAGATGTGTGCAGCGCATTTTATGGAGGACTGTTTCCTGATCCTGGTAGAGTAGACTACAATGCCGGCTGTTCTGACTCACAGACTGTAAGCACGTTTTTTATATTTAAAGAGTTTTTATATTTTTTATATTTAAAAGCGAGTTTTTTGGGCAGTGTAGAGTAGGGCTTGTTGTTTGTCATTTCTCCGATCACAAATGCAGACATGGTTTTATGTTTACGTGGCGCGATGCAACGCAACACGTAAAAAGACAGTATAAGTCATTATAATCCATAATTATGTCCCCACTGGATGCAACGAATGCCTCGTTTATAATGGGTTTTCATGTTTTTGAATCGTCGCTTCGGCCTGACAGGGCATCACAGTATGTTAGGGGCGTAACATTTCCGTCACACGCTTGAGGTATTCGGCCAATCATAACACACTGGATAGCTAGCCAATCACAGCACACCTTGCTTTTCAGACCGATGAGCTTTGTAAAAATGTATGCGTTTCAGAAAGGCAGGGCATAGAGGAGAAACAGTAATGTACAGTGTGTGGAAAAGAATGTGTTTTTGAACCTTAAACCGCATAAACACATTTCATTACACCAAATACACAAAATAATGTTATTTTTAGCAACATCATATGACCCCTTTAAAGAAAAGAAAAAATATCTTTAAAACAATGTAGTTACAAAAATTGTATACTCTTTGTATTCATATTGGTTTCAAACTTTTACATAATTTTCAAGAAATGTTTAAATTTAATGACTCTGGAAGAAAATGTTTTTGGTACACTTTAAATATAAGTAAGTATAGAAAAGCTTTTAAATACATTTAAAAAGTATATACATATACATTGTTTAACAAATGTCATAAATTGCTAATTCATAAATATAATTGCCGCACAACCTGAACTAACCTTGCCCTGTCATAATAAAGGTCAAATTATATAATATTTTAAGAAACTTATTGACCTTGACAAACATTCATGGGCAGGATGTCTATGATATAATTTCCTATTTTATCTATTTCCTGTAGTTTTTTTCTAAATAGGCTAAAAAAACAAACAAACAAAAAAACTGCTTCAGTTTGACAGTGTGTGGTCAAAGGGTCAAAAAGAGCTTGTTATGTCACTTCCTCTTTTTTGTTATGTCTCTTATGAAAATAGGTGTGAGAGTGACGTTATGTCACTAAATTACAACAAACAGCTGCTAAGTGCTATCTTACGAAACTGCTCACATTCGCGTCTGACCCCCATAGCCTTTTTCATATCTCACACAAGCTTGAATTGTTGGGTGTTTCACAACACTAATATTCACGGGCACACAAAGCCCTCAGCTCAAGAAAACACTCCAGTTATGAGCCGTATCGCTGTGCATTGGAATACAAATGTAGGAGAGCGCGTGTCTGCGACTGGAACTAGACATATGTCACTGTGAATGTGGCCGAGTGATGAATTACTGACCTTTTAGTGCCCACTCTGTGGTTGGGTGCAATATCAATGGTGTCTGTGGCTGAGTCATGCCGCACGGCCAATCCAAGGTCAGCGATGCAGCAGGTACCATTCTTCTTCACTAAGATGTTTTTGGATTTCAGATCACGATGGGCAATTGCAGGCTTACCTGAGGATTGGACATGACACAGTACAGCATGAAACACGACTTCAAATTAATTGTTGAAATCTTACTTTCTAATACTTACTAATGTCTAAAACCTTGTCCAAACCAGAAACAGGAGCAATCAATAAATCCTCTCTTCTCTTCTTAATTGAGTTTGTTTTTTTTCAACAGCAAGACATTTATTTGGTTGCTTGATTCTGTTCCTGTCATGTCACATTGAATACAAAATCATCTACATAACTGTATATAAAACATCACAAATATGTTTTGTGGAAACTTGTATTGCACTGCTTAAAGCAGCATATTTCTATGAAAATGTGGGCATTTTCATGTAAATATGGCTATGTTTCAGGATGGATAAAAGAAAAGTGATTTGTGTATTGTGACTCACCCTGAGTGCCCACAATCTCCATATGCAGATGAGCCAGACCACTGGCGGTGGAGAGAGACAGCTTGATCATGCCCTCCACTGTGACCGTGTACCTGTTCAGGTAGTCAAAGAGCGAGCCGTGCTCATGGTAATCAGAAACCAACCACAGTTGAGTCCATGTGCCGTTATCTGAGATGCACAGAGAGAGACACCACTGAATGCTCTACGCTTTGAGGGATAATAGAGTGTAAACATATTCTGAGCCGTGGCTGTTAAACTTCTAAATATATCTACATCTAGCAACTTTAAAGCTTCATTTCTAGCAAAAATATTATGAGTGGCTCTATTGAGCTCAGTACTGTTGACAATCTAAGACACACTAAAATAGTGTAACTGGAAATAGTGATATTGTTTATAATAAATGATGCCAATGACAAAATTAGCCAAGCAGGGCGGATGATGTCTCTTACGTGTATATGATTTAATTTAATTAAAGTGAATGACATAACTAAAACTGTTAAAAACAGGGGTTAAAGCAAAAAGACAAAAATCTTTTGACTGAAATTTTTTCCTCGGCCAAACCCCATTCCACAGCCATACCTGTAACACACCCAGTTTAAGAGCAGTGTGTTTCTTCTTGTAATTAGGAGCGCTTGTCCTCCTAATTAAAAAAATTTAGGAGCACCTTCTAATCAATAATAAAAAAATTCTGATCAAAAATGAGCCTTTCTAATACGAGGTGACATTTGACTCAAAGTGATTTACAGGGGCATTTTCTTTTTACCTTTGTAAATGCATTTTTCTAATTGTATTAAAATGTATGCAGTGTTTCCTCTAGGATTTTTTCCAGCTGTGGTGGCAGGACTATTCCCCATGGACCATGTCCCCTCCCCACCCAAGAATCACGTGCACTCAGAATTGAATTTATTTTAACTAAAAAAGACAAGTGAATAGTAAAAAAATAAAATATGAACAAATAAATGAATGACAATCAATAGCACAAACAAAAACAATAACAAGATACAAATTAAATTAACAGTACTTTAATTTTTTCCGTTAGGTCTAACTATAACCTATTCAACTGTAAATTAACACTGGATAGTCTTCACTGTATAATGAAAGACAGCAGCAGGTTTATTTACACTCTAAAAAATGCTGGGTTAAATAAAACTCAGCGCTGGGTAAAATATGGACAAACCCAGCGATTGGGTTGTTTTCAACCAACAGTTGGGTTAAATGTTTAACCCAACCTTCTGGGCAGTAACCCAACCACTGGGTCAAAACAACCCAGTCGCTGGGTTTGTCCATATTTAACCCAGCATTGGGTTGTATTTAACCCAGCATTTTTTAGAGTGTAGGCTGCTGTCTCTTTAAGACCTCATGCAGGATCTAATATACTGTTACACAGGGCTCTATGCTTACTTTTCTTTTTAGGAGCTCTTGTCCTCCTCATTAAAAAAATGTAGGAGCACCTTCTGATCAATAATCAAATTCTGATCAAAAATTAGCCTTCCTAATACGAGGTGACATTTGACTCCTTAATGCCGAGTTCACACTGCACGATTTTCAAAGACGTCGAATCACTGATGGTTTCACACTGAACGACTATCTGGGGTAGCATTCAGTTGTTGCTGTGTTCACATTGCACGATGGAACGACGACAGGAGGTTTCACACTGCATGACTTTACAATAGGAAGAATCGCCGACAGCTCTGTCTGGTGCAGGGTTGCCAGGTTTTCACTACAAACCCCGCCCAATTACTACTCAAAACTAGCCTGAAAATAGCCCAATTGCTTTGTTCATTTTTACCCCCCCGTGTAAAAAAAACACTATTTTTTTTGCCAGGGTTCACCTGGTACAATTCACATTCCAGGGCCTAAATATCACGTTATTGGGGTCGCTTCAAACTGCTGACATAAAAAACAACTGGCGGCAATCGCGGATTTGGCAACACTGGTCCGCAAACTACGTTTCATATAACTCCTCCCCGAACTTCCCGCTGCCCTGTATCTTGGTCTCTCATTGGCTGTAGGTCATCGCCGATGTGTTTTTCAGTCAGAACTCATTTCACACAGCATGGTGGTTGTGAATCGCCGACAGCTCCAGATATTTAGCATGCCAAATATTTTGCGGCCCTCAGATCGCGTCTTTGATAATTCACACTGCGTGATTGTCACTCGCGTGAACGAGCACCGATTTGCCTCCGATTCTGGGCATTTGTCGGCGATTTCGCAAAACCTGTTGGCGAGTGAAAAATCGGGCTATAATCATGCAGTGTGAACTCGGCATAAAGTGACTTACAGGAGTATTTTCTTTTTGCTTTTTGTAATGGCATAATTTTCATCTGTCAAATTAAAAAATTTATGTTTATAAGATTTTTAAAATTTCTATTTAAAACAATATAATAAGAAGTAGAATAAGACAAATAAGTTGCCAATCATATGAAATTAGTATTAATAAAAAATATTAAGAAATTAAATGATTTAAATAACCAAAATTATATGCTAAAAATGTAACTAAATCCGCCAGCAGTTGGCGGCAAGTCACTGATTTTATCACTGAATCATTTATTCAATTGATTCGTTCGAACGGCTGATTCATTCAGGAATTAAGCAAGTGAGTGTCTTTATGTATGGGTAATCATGAATCACTCGATTCGTTCAAAAACACACTTTTAATCATGAATGAAACACCGCTGTGTTTGCTTTAAGAGATGCGCAGCGGCTGAGCTGTTACTTTATTTGGAACTATTTTCGTTGATGAAATAGAGCAAAATCAGGCAGTACTTGTTTATTGAACTGTTGTATTAAATCAATATCACATTTGCAAACTCCCTTAATTATTAAAAGCTGGAACCTGCGGAAATGAGTAGAATTATTATTAATAGCCGCAATCTCGCGCCGAAATTCAAGTCCTGTCCTGCTCTGTGTTCTCTGCTAATAACCCAATTTCTGTGAATTATGCGAGCGGCGTTATGTTGTCAGTGAGAAGCTGCAGCTGTGGTGGGGATGATTTGTGGTGTGCCGGCAGAACAACAACAACAACGCGCTACATGTTTTCACATAAACACACGTACGCTGGAAAGCAAATGAAGTTCGATCAAACTAAATGGCACTGAACTGCTTTTATTGTTGTCTGACCTTTGTTGTCTGCAGCAATAAAGCCCAGGATGTTCTCATGACGAAGCATGACAGTCTGGTAGATCTCTGCCTCACGGAACCAAGAACGCTCCTCTCTGGAGGAGAAGATCTTTACTGCCACCTCCTCGCCACGCCAGCGGCCCCTCCACACCTCTCCAAAACGACCCTTCCCTATGCTCTCCTGGAGGATGATAGTCCTGGCAATAGTCCTCTGCACTAGCAGTGGCAAGCCTATAGAAGACAAGAAATAGCAGTCAGGGAAACTCCATTTCAGGCTTACAAATCATACTTCATATGTTGCTTGGAAATTCAATTTTGTCAGAATACACAGCAATGTCTACTGTCTACATAGAAAGATGCTCTCTGGCCTCATAATGGTGTAATTACGGCATCTGCCAGCAGGGGAGCCATGCAAACACAGCCATGAAAACCAGCCAAACATTGAACCCTCGACGTATGTATACTATGCACAATGTTTGATTTGAGATCATGACAGTCATCCAGGAGCTAAAAAACAAATATTTCATCTGAGGCACTGTCAAATATACAGTGTTTCTTGGCTTGGACAAAACGCAATGATGACAGCTTCTGGACTAAAATCCTGGACTAAAGATATAGCCTGCAGTGATTCCAGCTAGGCTTGAGGCTCATAACACAAGGAAAGCATTAAACTGTCAGTTTACACATCCTCAGTTGCTCCCAAGGGGCTCTGAAAACAAAGGGAATGAAATTGGCTTGAGCATACTTTGGGGTTTATGATGGGTATTACAAGAAAAACGACCAGCAAATACATAAAAATGAAAGGGAATTCGATGATTTGATGAGAATCTTTGCATAATAAGAGGCATAAAAAATGGTTCAACTTGATTCTTTGAAAGCAGAAAAGGGAAACAATAACAAGCTAATAGTAGTATGATCTGTTAAATACCTGAGCCAGATCCAGAAGTGGTCATGTCATAGATAAGATCCTTCAGCTTGGTGCCGTCAGCAAGGAACGGGTGGTCCATAGTGGGGTCTTCCTCACTTGGCACACGTTGGTGGATGATGGAGCGATTATGGCACATGTAGAAGATCAGCACCAGCACGAAGCTCAGCACGCAGATGGGGACAGCAATCACTGCGGCCAAAGCTACGGGACTCAGAGACTGGGGTTCAGTGTCAGGCAACTCTGAAACAGGAAGAAGCAAAGCACATGCTTTAGGCTGTAAACCAGTGGTTCCCAATCAGGGGGTTGGGGCCCACTAGGGGGCCTCAGAAAACTTAGGTTTAATGTTAAATTTGTTTAAATATAGTTATATTGATTACAATTCAGAAAAAAACAACTAAAAAGAATAAGAAATGAGATGTGCAACATTAAACTGACATCATATTTTAGTTTTTAAGAAAACAGAAGTATCAGATGTACATCAAGATAGGAGGGCCTTCAAATATTGTATGAGACACAGGGGGGCTTTAGAGTCAAAAATGTAGAGATCCACTGCTGTAAACACACTCATACAACAAAATAACTAACTTGTAATAAAAGATAGTACTCACACTAGACTTGGTCACACTGAAAAACTAAAATAAACAAATACACAACCAAACTTGCTAAATTTTTAAATAAGCGCCATGGGATATTGAGACTTTGAAAGTCATTCTTTTTACTTTAAAAACTGTAGTGGAGTAGCAGGAGTGTAGTTATCCAAGCATAAACTTCAAGCATCTGTTTTTGTTCAGCCACTCACGCTAATGCTAGTCACTGTTCCTCTGCATTTCAATTTGAACCAATGCAAAGACATTTTAGTTAACCTATTGAAATGATCTATTATTAATATTAAAAAGGTCACAGCGAGTGAAACTGTGTTGAAGGCTATTCCTGTTGGTATGTATTTCATGTTTGTTATTTGTCCGTTGTTAGTTCTTTTGTGAGAATTTTTGAGCTCCCGTGGTGAAAAGTGGCTGAATCAATTTATACTGACTAATTGTTTTGATCTGTGACACAAACACATTTGGTGAAGTGCACTACTCTTTTACCTCTCATCAAGCCTATTTCTATTGTAAGGGATTTTTTGGGGGGGGGTTATGTTTAAAAGACCTTGTGGCAGATTGGAGCACTGTAGTGTCTGCGTAGGATCATGCATGTGCGTTGGACTGTTTAT